GGGTGAAGGTAATGGGCGATGGTGAATTTGAGGGTGAGGGTGATAGTGAGGGTGAGGGTGATGGTAAGGGTGATGGTGATGGTGGTGGTGAGGGTGAGGGTGATAGTGAGGGTGAGGGTAAGGGCCGATGGTGAATTTGAGGGTAAGGGTGAGGATGATGGTGAGGGTGAGGGTAAGGGACGATGGTGAATTTAAGGGTGAGGGTGAGGGTGATGGTGAGGGTGAGGGTGATGGTGAGGGTGATGGTGGTGGTGAGGGTGAGGGTGATGGTGAGGGTGAGGGTGATGGTGAGGGTGAGGGTGAGGGTGATGGTGAGGGTGATGGTGAGGGTGATGGTGAGGGTGATGGTGAGGGTGAGGGGAATGGTGAGGGTGAGGGTGAGGGTGATGGTGAGGGTGATGGTGAGGGTGATCGTGGTAGTGGTGGTGAGGGTGAGGGTGAGGGTGAGGGTGATGGTGTGTGTGATGGTGAGGGTGATCGTGGTGGTGGTGGTGAGGGTGAGGGTGAGGGTGAGGGTGAGGGTAAGGGCCGATGGTGAGGGTAAGGGCCGATGGTGAGGGTGAGGGTGATGGTGAGTGTGATGGTGAGATTGATCGTGGTGGTGGTGGTGAGGGTGAGAGTGAGGGTGAGGGTTAGGGTGAGGGTGATGGTAAAGGTTAGGGTGAGGGTAGGGGCCGATGGTGAGGGTGAGGGCCGATGGTGATGGTAAGGGTGAGGGTGAGGGTGAGGGTGAGGGTGATGGTGAGTGTGATGGTCAGGGTGATCGTGGTGGTGGTGGTGAGGGTGAGGGTGAGGGTGATCGTGATGGTGAGGGTGAGGGTAAGGGCCGATGGTGAGAGTGAGGGCCGATGGTGATGGTAAGTGTGAGGGTGAGGGTGAGGGTGAGGGTGATGGTGAGGGTGAGGGTAAGGGACGATGGTGAATTTGAGGGTGAGGGTGAGGGTGATGGTGAGGGTGAGGGTGATGGTGAGGGTGATGGTGAGGGTGAGGGTGATGGTGAGGGTGATGGTGGTGGTGAGGGTGAGGGTGATGGTGAGGGTGAGGGTGATGGTGAGGATGAGGGTGAGGGTGAGGGTGATGGTGAGGGTGATGGTGAGGGTGATGGTGAGGGTGATGGTGAGGGTGAGGGGAATGGTGAGGGTGAGGGTGAGGGTGATGGTGAGGGTGATGGTGAGGGTGATCGTGGTGGTGGTGGTGGTGAGGGTGAGGGTGAGGGTGAGGGTGATGGTGTGTGTGATGGTGAGGGTGATCGTGGTGGTGGTGGTGAGGGTGAGGGTGAGGGTGAGGGTGATGGTGAGGGTAAGGGCCGATGGTGAGGGTAAGGGCCGATGGTGATGGTAAGGGTGAGGGTGAGGGTGAGGGTGATGGTGAGTGTGATGGTGAGTGTGATGGTGAGGGTGATCGTGGTGGTGGTGGTGAGGGTGAGGGTGGGGGTGATGGTGAGGGTGAGGGTAAGGGCCGATGGTGAGGGTGAGGGCCGATGGTGATGGTAAGGGTGAGGGTGAGGGTGAGGGTGATGGTGAGTGTGATGGTGAGGGTGATCGTGGTGGTGGTGGTGAGGGAGAGGGTGAGGGTGAGGGTGAGGGTGAGGGTAAGGGCCGATGGTGAGGGCGAGGGCCGATGGTGATGGTAAGGGTGAGGGTGAGGGTGAGGGCCGATGGTGAGGGTGAGGGTGATGGTGAGAGTGGTGGTGAGGGTGAGTGTGATGGTGAGGGTGATCGTGGTGGTGGTGGTGAGGGTGAGGGTGAGGGTAAGGGCCGATGGTGAGGGTGAGGTCCGATGGCGATGGTAAGGGTGAGGGTGAGGGTGATGGTGAGGGTGAAGGTAAGGGACGATGGTGAATTTGAGGGTGAGGGTGAGGGTGATGGTGAGGGTGATGGTGATGGTGAGGGTGAGGGGAATGGTGAGGGTGAGGGTGAGGGTGATGGTGAGGGTGATGGTGAGGGTGATCGTGGTGGTGGTGGTGGTGAGGGTGAGGGTGAGGGTGTTGGTGTGTGTGATGGTGAGGGTGATCGTGGTGGTGGTGGTGAGGGTGAGGGTTAGGGTGAGGGTGAGGGTGATGGTGAGGGTAAGGGCCGATGGTGATGGTAAGGGTGAGGGTGAGGGTGAGGGTGAGGGGGAGGGTGATGGTGAGTGTGATGGTGAGGGTGATCGTGTTGGTGTTGGTGAGGGTGAGGGTGAGGGTGAGGGTGAGGGTTAGGGTGAGGGTGATGGTGAAGGTTAGGGTGAGGGTAAGGGCCGATGGTGAGGGTGAGGGCCGATGGTGATGGTAAGGGTGAGGGTGAGGGTGAGGGTGATGGTGAGTGTGATGGTGAGGGTGATCGTGGTGGTGGTGGTGAGGGTGAGGGTGATGGTGAGGGTGAGGGTAAGGGTGGAAACAAAGAGATTTAACTATTATGGGTAAAATACATTTGCTAAAAACTTATGCGCTTTCAAAATTAAATTATATTTCATCTCTCGTTATTGTCCCTCATTGGGTATATAAAGAAGTTGCAAAAATTTCATTTGAATTCATATGGAGGGGGAAAGATAGAATTAAACGGGCAATAATGTATCAGGATTATGACTTTGGAGGATTAAGAATGATTAATTTTGAAATGTCCGTTAAAATACAGCGCATAATGTGGATAAAACGTCTTTTATATGGAGAGAAAAGTTTGGGATGGAAATTGTTTTTTGATCATTGCTTACAGTTTGTGGGTGGTAGATTTATTTTTTTATGTGATTATGATTTAAACAAGATTAAACTCGTTTTAGATATTCCACCATACTATATGGAAATGTTGCAAGCATGGCAAGAGACAAGTAATTTAAGATATTTGGAGGGTTATATTAATCCAATTATTTTTAATAATCAGAATATATGTATAAATGGAAAAAGTATATTTGATAGATACTTGTTTGAAAGAGGGATTGTTCAACTGAATCATTTGGTTGAGAAAGGTCATGTTAAGCCTGTTAAATATTTTATGAACCTCGGTATGAAAGGTAATAATTTGCTTATGATTATTGATATTTATGATGCAATACCCAGGTTATGGAAGGATGATTCAGGGTTAATAGAATTCCTCGAGGTTGATTTGATAAGCTTTAATACTTATTTCCATATTTCTAGTAAAAAAATACAGTTTGTGGATGTGGGTTCAAGAACAATCTATGATTATTTCATCAAAGCACTGCAGCGAACGTATGATTTGCAGGTAAGGGATGGGCAAAATGACTATGATTTTATAGATAAAGAATTAAAAGAAATATTTGTGAGACCAAGAATTACTATACTCATTAGAAAACAACGTGAATTTCAATTTAAATTATTGCATGGAGCCATATACACTAATGAGCATCTTCATAGATTTGGTTTTGTTGGTGATAATTTATGTTCGTTTTGTAAGCAGGAAATAGAAACATACAAACATTTATTTTTATCTTGTGGGAGCGTTCAAAGGTTATGGCAGGCTTTAATACAACTTTTTGAGTTAGATGAAATTAAAGATTTAGAATGGCGAGATATATTTGTTGGGTTGGTAGGTAGTTCATATAGAATAAAAATGTGTAATACTATCATTTTCATGGTGAAGTATGTTACATTTATGTCAAGATCGGGGGGGGCGAGTACTAACTTTAGAAAAGATGAAAAAAAGCATTTTTAAGTATAGGGATGAGGAAAAGAAAATAGCAATTAAAATGGGAAAGCTAGGATCACATTTTTTAAAGTGGGAGCAGCTTAAGATTAATTAAGATTTGCTTTCTTCTCCACCGTGAGCTTGTTAAAAGCGTAACTCGATTTTGCGGCCTGGATAACTTATTTAGTATATTTTTCTTAAGTTGAGAATGTTGGCAGACATCCACTGAGTGAGTACTGTGTGTGTGTGTGGGGGGGGGGGTGGGTGGGTGGGTGGGTGAGTATGTGTGTGAGTGGGTGAGTATGTTTGTGTGATAGAGGGTGAGTATGTCTGTGTGATGTAGGGGGCAGGGAGGGGGCAGGATTGTTTCAGTAAAATTATCTCCAGATTTGTTTTTTTTTGTAATATATAAGTAAATAACATTTACAATTGACATATTATGTTTAGGTACTTATACGTTTACTTTGTTGTTAAGTTATATTATACTGCAAATAAGTTTGTGTTTAATTATGTTTATGTAAAAGCATCAATATTGAACACGTTTATTTTATTCAATTGTATGTCATGGTTTGTGTTACACATCTGGAGAAATAAAACAAAATTGTTTAAAAAAAAATTTTAAAAAAAAAAGGGCCGATGGTGAGGGTGAGGGCCGATAGTGATGGTAAGGGTGAGAGTGAGGGTGAGGGTGATGGTGAGGGTGATCGTGGTGGTGGTGGTGAGGGTGAGGGTGAGGGTGAGAGTGAGGGTGAGGGTGATGGTGAGGGTGAGGGGAATGGTAAGGGCCGATGTTGAGGGTGAGGGCCGATGGTGATGGTAAGGGTGAGGGTGAGGGTGAGGGTGAGGGCCGATGGTGAGGGTGAGGGTGATGGCGAGGGTGGTGGTGAGGGTGAGTGTGATGGTGAGGGTGAGGGTGATGGTGAGGGTGAGGGTGATGGTTAGGGTGAGGGTGATGGTGAGGGTGAGGGTGAGGGTGAGGGTGATGGTGATGGTGAGGGTGAGGGTGAGGGTGAGGGTGATGGTGAGGGTGAGGGTGAGGGTGAGGGCCGATGGTGACGGTGAGGGTGATGGTGAGGGTGAGGGTGAGGGTGAGGGTGATGGTGAGGGTGAGGGTGAGGGCCGATGGTGAGGGTTAGGGTGATGGTGATGGTAAGGGTGAGGGTGAGGGCCGATGGTGAGGGTGAGGGTGATGGTAATAGTGATGGTGGTTGTGGTTGGGGTGGTAAGTGTGGTGGTATATACAGAAATGGTGGTAGTGATGATTTTTACCAAGATGAATGTGATGATAATAATTTCATAGTTATCATAATAATCGTAATAATATGATGAAAGTTGTGGTAATATTGATGATGATAATGTGGATGAGAAGGTGCTCACCTTAATAGCATCTGTGATGAGGTCTTTCATATTCTCCTCAAAGATACCCCAGGACAGTTTCTCACTCAGCTGCTTGATCAGAACCATGCATCTATGCAAATGAGATGTAAAGTAAGAGTAAGAAAAGTCATAGAGAATGGACAGCCGTGAAAACAGAATGTTGCTTTACAGATAGTCCAAGTGGGCAATTAGTTATCAAGAGATGATTGGTACTACAAAATCAGAGAATATCAGTAAAAAGACCTACTATAGTATCTTTCGTCGTTCAATCATCAAAGTTAATCACAAGAATGAACAGTAAGTGGACAGCTCTATATTAATTGTCAGATTTCAGCTTTCTGTTCATTCTTTCAATTATTGGAGTTACTTATTATTATTGCAAGACAAAAATCTTTATCACTGCTTTTCTCCAATTACTCATCAATTAGTAATTCAGAATAGGTTCTCTCTCATCTGTTTGATCATTACAATGCATCTATGCAAACGAGACACAAAGTACACAACAAGATTCATAGCGAACTGCAAATTCTGAAGACTGAAATGATAATCTCCTCAATGATAGCCATGGTATTCCACTAAATATATAAATCTGTACAAAATTTGATAGCACAAATGGAAATGAAGATCACACTCTGCAATCCAAAGTGTACACAGGTTTTCAAAAGGATTTTTTAAAAGTGTAAAGCTTCAAGTAATGACGTCATAATAAACAAGGGTTCAATTGCAATTCAAATATTTACATCACGTGGGGCTTTTAGGTATCATGATGGGGCACTAAAATATCATCATCACCACCACCACCACCACCACCAGCATTATCATCATCATCATTGCCACCACCATCACCATCATCATCATCATCATCAAGTTGTAGCATCACAGACAATTCAAAGACTGAAAGATTACTTGAGGAGAATATGAAGCTGTTCGACGGCCTCGGTGTCTCTGAATGGGAAAGCTTCATGTTGCTTCTGTAACATCCTCATTGAATGTTCTACAAACTCACTGCAAGACTTGTGAAGATATGTCACCTGGACAGATAAAAGAAACACAACTTGCTCGAAAATGCAGTATCAATACAGAAAGTTCTCTTTCTTCCATTTTATATAATCTCCTTAGACTATTACTTTCCCTCTTTTTTCTTCTTCTCAAACAGTTGCAAAACAAGGTACAGTATATCCAGCACTGTTTGCCCTTTATACTGTGTATGTTCAAACATATTGCACTGTCACTTTCTACCACATCTACATATTTATAAGAACGCAAATGTACACACAAATAGAGAAAATACATCAAACAAATGTTTAGAAGAAAAAGAGAAAAATTGTCAATAGTGTATTGACACAATGGTCACTCTAATATATGCACTGTACATGTATATGTTAAAGGTAAAGACCAGTATTGGAAACGCCCCAATTTCAAAAAATGAAATGGAAGCTCTTATTACCAATCATGTGAAAGAATATGTTTTGAATATTACATGACGATAAAAATGTTGACGGGAAACCGCCTACTAATTGATATATTTGGTAAATTAGTATATCTATATACTGTTGAGAGATACAAAAGCACGTGTCGCGCACGTGTGTGTAGTCCCATATACATCTTTCTGTGTACAGTGCTTCTAACTTGATGAAGACTTGGCCAAATTTCTTATAATTTTGATGATTCCAGAACCTTGCAGTACATCTATGCTAGATGATCAACCTTTTCTGATCGATTTCACAACGTTTCTTTCACTATGCAATTGCATGACCATAACTGGTTTTTAGCTTTAATATAGAAGTAGAAGTAGTATAGAATTTATTGACTCATTCGACCCCCTTCTGGGGTATGAGAGTACAACACATGTACATGTCATGATAATGATACATAATAAAGAATACAAACCTAGCTTAATAATACAAAGAATACAGAATATAACAAAACAACAATATAAAAGTATAACGATAAATAGGAATGATCTAAACCTAGCCTATGCTAAACATAAATACAATATTATACAATATGGCAAGCATACATGAAAAGTGGAGAATACCACATGAACAATCTAAATACAAACATGAAGAAAAAGAAAGATAAAAACAAAAAATAATAATAATAAAATAATAATATGTGGCTCTAATGGGTCACTTTTTCACAAAAAAATCCTTAAACATTTTCAAAATCTCAAAATATTGTGTGTTTGCATGGCAAACACCCCAAAATTGTGAAAAATGGGCTTTACCTCGAGAAAAATCCCCCAAAATGACCCTTAAAAATGGGTAGGGGTTTTGAGGCTTCAGCGGCACACCTCCGTCCAAACCAAATCTAAGTACCCCCTACTTACCATCTGTTCATCTGGAGGGCCCTTATCCCAGAGGTTAGTTATGCCTGTGATGATGGATAGCATAACATTGAGGTCTAGACGAGGCAAAACACACTGCTGACTGTATGCTATCCACTGGCTGTAAAAAGAGAATGAGGAACAGAGCATTATTGAATGGCGGTATTGAAAACTCAAGAACAAGTGTATATACTTGACTACTGTGCAAGTAGGCAAAACACACTGCTGACTGTATGCTATCCACTGGCTGTATCAAGAGAATGAGTAACATAGCATTCATTATATACCTCATTTTAAGATTCTTTACTAATCCTGTCTTCTGATTGGTTGAAAATGCAGTCATGTTCTTAACCATGCCCGCTAATTGAAATTCATAGTCATTTTTCCCGGCTCTACCGGTTTATATCCATTTTTCATAGCACTTTTTCCATGGCTGTGAAACGTGACGTCATTTTGCTGCGATCCCCATTTTGGTTTACGTGTTACCGTATAAGTTTCTTTTGTGCGATGACCGATGCGCAATACCGTTAACGGTGTTTGAGTGCAATTCGATTTTGGTCGCTGCATTCAGGCGACGAATCTACCAATCCACGCAGCGCAGACGACCGATCGCCATTTTGTGTACTAGTCTCGATCGCAAAATACTGGGGTTTTTTGTTTCCAATTTTTTTGTCAATAAAGAGGCAAAATGGAGGACACAGCTATGCCAAGATTTCAACTTATGGATGACATTCAGCTGCAAGACTTAATCGATTCTGCTGATAGCAAAAATACGAAGTATGCAGCAAAATACGGCATTAAAATATTTGAAGAGTTCTTGCGAAATGTCAACACGGACCTTTTTCCTTTTTTTCGGTATATAAAATATATATTGACTGCTTTTAATATTCGAGGCATAGTTGTTTCTATAGGGTCTCGGGAAACTCACAACCTGCTATGACCCCGCGGCGCAAGCGCCTTGGGGTCATAGCAGGTTGTGAGTTTCCCTTGACCCTATAGAAACCACTATGCCTCTCAAAGCAGTCAATATATCCTTACTATGAACACCACGGACAAAGAAAGCGGACAAAATATACAGTTCCTCCGGTAGACAAAGGAACATCCCTTCACTGCTATTATGTAAAAAGGTGAATATGCATGTGACACCTGTTCTACACATTTTTTTATATAATAGCAGTGAAGGGATGTTCCTTTGTCTACCTGAGGAACTATATATTTTGTCCGCTTTCTTTGTCAGTCATGTTCATAGTGATTATTGAATGGCGGTATTGAAAACTCAAGAACAAGTATATATACTTGACTACTGTGCAAGTAGGCAAAACACACTGCTGACTGTATGCTATCCACTGGCTGTAAAAAGAGAATGAGTAACATAGCATTATTGAATGGCGGTATTGAAAACTCAAGAACAAGTATATATACTTGACTACTGTGCAAGTAGGCAAAACACACTGCTGACTGTATGCTATCCACTGGCTGTATAAAGAGAATGAGTAACATAGCATTATTTAATAGGGATATTGAAAACTCAAGAACAAGTGTATATCGGACTACTGTGCAAGTAGGCAAAACACACTGCTAACTGTATGCTTTCCACTGGCTGTATAAAGAGAATGAGTAACATAGCATTATTTAATAGGGATATTGAAAACTCAAGAACAAGTGTATATCTGACTACTGTGCAAGTAGGCAAAACACACTGCTGACTGTATGCTATCCACTGGCTGTATAAAGAGAATGAGTAACATAGCATTATTTAATAGGGATATTGAAAACTCAAGAACAAGTGTATATACTTGACTACTGTGCAAGTAGGCAAAACACACTGCTGACTGTATACTATCCACTAGCTGTATCAAGAGAATGAGTAACATAGCATTATTGAATGGCGGTATTGAAAACTCAAGAACAAGTGTATATCGGACTACTGTGCAAGTAGGCAAAACACACTGCTGACTGTATACTATCCACTAGCTGTATCAAGAGAATGAGTAACATAGCATTATTGAATGGCGGTATTGAAAAATCAAGAACAAGTGTATATCGGACTACTGTGCAAGTAGGCAAAACACACTGCTGACTGTATGCTATCCACTGGCTGTATAAAGAGAATGAGTAACATAGCATTATTTATTAGGGATATTGAAAACTCAAGAACAAGTGTATATCGGACTACTGTGCAAGTAGGCAAAACACACTGCTGACTGTATGCTATCCACTGGCTGTATAAAGAGAATGAGTAACATAGCATTATTTAATAGGGATATTGAAAACTCAAGAACAAGTGTATATCGGACGACTGTGCAAGTAGGCAAAACACACTGCTGACTGTATGCTATCCACTAGCTGTATAAAGAGAATGATTAACATAGCATTATTTAATAGGGATATTGAAAACTCAAGAACAAGTGTATATCGGACTATTGTGCAAGTAGGCAAAACACACTGCTGACTGTATGCTATCCACTGGCTGTATAAAGAGAATGAGTAAAATAGCATTATTTAATAGGGATATTGAAAACTCAAGAACAAGTGTATATACTTGACTACTGTGCAAGTAGGCAAAACACACTACTGACTGTATGCTATCGACTGGCTGTATCAAGAGAATGAGTAACATAGCATTATTTAATAGGGATATTGAAAACTCAAGAACAAGTGTATATACTTGACTTCTGTGCAAGTAAGATAGGCAACACACACTGCTGACTGTTTCAAGAAAAATAGCGACACATGACCATCAAATAGACATAGGTAAGACGCACTGTTGACTGTATGCTATTCACCATCATGAAAAAATAATGTGTAGATATTTCTTAGCACTTATATCTTTGTATAATTACACACAATTTAACCTATATTTCTTACAGAATTTTTTCTCTCAGCACACAAATTACTCAAAACTCAAGTTGAGTTGATGTTCTCTTTTTAATTTCTCAGGCATCTTATTATTTAGGCAGATTTACACAATATGCGAACCCTCTGACTTTATTAATATATTAAAGCCTGTCTGTACTGGTTTGGCCAGGGGGATTAGACCTCCGTGCAAGGTCACTGACAGGTGGTTATCTCATCAAATCAGCTCTCCATTAACATAAGAAAAAGGGGCTCATGGGGGACAAACAGGCACCGATTAGGCATTGTTTGCTATATAGAGGGCACAAGTAGCTATAAGTAGTGCAGTAAGGTTTTAATACATGTATATTTTCAAGAGAAGTACAATGTGTAGGAAGTTGATTTAAATACCTGGCAAGCTGGTAGATTTCTGGTAGCTGCTGTTGTTGAGCGAGTTGATGCAGGACTGCCCTGGGTGCTGGAGGAAGCTGACCACTCCATCTTTTCCCTGTCATGGAGTTATCACATACCTCATGATGGGTGAAGTTGTACCAGAGGTACTGGTGGGCGGCCCCCATGGCCTCCGTGCTGGCCTTGGGCGCATCCTTCTATAAACGAACAAATGAAGCAAGCTTTTAACAATCGTACCTCAATCACACCGACAGGATTGACACCAGGGAAGTGTTTCACAAAGACTAAGATCAACTTTAAGTTGGACTTAACTATGGCAGACCATTCATGACACTGGTTGCTCTCACCATTATGATATTTAGATAATATTTTTTCCTTCAATAATGAACTATCATAAAATGTAAATTCTGTAGATTTGTGACCTTGATTTGTAAGTCCCTCGAGAGACCAATGCCAGTAAATGGTGAGAGAAAACGGTGGCATGAATGGCCTGCCATAGTTAAGTCCAAATTAAAGTTGATCTTAGTCTTTGTGAAACACTCCCCAGATTGACAATAGACCAACAACAAAAAGTACATTACATATATGGCCAAAAATCTGTTGGGTTGGAGTCAGTCTGAAGTCATTTTGGTGGTGTCATTCTACTCCTCCTACAGCGGGTGTTAGCCTTCTCACCCAAAGACAAAATATATGACTGTCCTTTCTGCAGCTTTTCTTGTTTAATATACTATTAACATCCCATATAAATCATTTTTTTGTGTATAGATAGTATTACAGAAAAAAAAAAAAAAAAAAAAAAAAACATGTTGCAAAATGCGAAATTGAAATACTGCAACAACAAAAATTGAAAACAGAGAATAAATAGTTCTTTTCACCCTTTTCTTTTCCCCACCATCTTTAGCTAATCGGTCTCGCCGACCTCTATCCCTCTACATGTTCAGTGCATTACCTGAGGCATCTTTATCCTGTCCATCATATGACCAAGTCTTTTCTTCCTCAACACATCTCTTGTTGGATTTATTCTTTTCTCAACAAATTGGACAAGCATTTCATTTGTTATCTCCCCCTCACTATAAACTAAAACATGTTAATCAGACTAGCCAATGTTAATCACTTCAACTTAAAAGAACACTTTTCGTCTCTGTTTTCTAAACACATGAAACCATCAAAGTCACACTTACAATTACCCACAAAGTCTAACTTCAAATAATCAAAGCAATGACACAAAAGTAAAGTGCACAGACCCCACTATGATCATGAGGACATATACAGAAAGCTGATGAGCTTACACGCATCTACAGAAATAAAAAGTGACTAAATCCAATCAAAGAAAACAAAAATTCAATATATTAAAGCTACAAAGAAATAGATAATCAATAGCAAAGCTGGCAATTAAGAATGTGGTGTGAAGAAAAAAAAATTAAAACAGTTTGTTTTAGCAGAGTGAGTAAAGAATTGAAAGTTCAAACATTGACTCAGAATGTGACGGTAGTGAAATCCACTTTTATAAATCATACAAAACAGTGTAAATGAACATGACAGGGATGCCAGCTCTAACATTGTCCTACAGATTTGCAACTACCAGTATTTCAATTTCACTACACAACGTCTAGTCTACAACAAATGCTTCATGCATTTCTGAAATTAACACTTTCTATACATCTACACATGAAAGATACACTTATTGTTGAAAACACAAACACACATAAAACTCACTTTGCACAAGTGGAGCTCAAGAGGCTATTGAAATAGAAGAGTGCCCCATCTAAAAAGAGTTGCGACTGATTTGAACAACCATACATGCACATGCACATGAACTTGCATGACTAATATGCTCAATACAATCATCACATCAATCACAGAATCCATTGATTTGTAAAAGATCAGTTCACATACGTAGTCATATGTCTTGCCTGGCTCTAAAAACACAAATTTACGAGTGATGTCTCGAAAGATTGTCAGAGGCTTGGCCAACATATCAGCAGCTAATAATCAACTGTATTCAGATGAATGGAAGCTTTTGGAGAAGAAACATGCATTGATATATGTGAACTGATCTCATTAAAATGGCGCCCAAGGAGCATAAGAAGACATTCAAACTACCACCAAATACAAGCTAATCAACTGAGAACCACTATGAAAACTAAAGTCAAATATATGGTAAACAGAAAAGGTGTTATTCAAATCTTGTGAACAAAAACAGAACATTCCACCAAAATTCTTTCAAACACTCTCAACTTACATGGACTTTGCTCTTCTTAAACTGAGAAAATTTATCGGAGCCTTTCTTCTTGACTTTTTTTAGACTTTCTTCTTTGCTCTTCTTAGGATCGAATGAAGTTCTGGGTTCTTGCTTATTATCAAGAACTTCTTCATTCTAAGCAGAAGAATTGCAAAAATAGAAGAAGAATAAAGGACAGACACCATGGACATGAACTCAAGAATGAATTGATGAAAACAGAGATAACTAGATGCAACTTCGACTGCGCGCAGTCGAAAATGATGCCTCCATCATAGAGCAATTTTACAAACCAAAACAGAAGCAATTCAAGTTCAATTGTAATCCATTAACAGGTTCTCTTTGATCTTTGACCTCATGACCCAAAAATCTACTCAGTTCATCCGCTCTGCAAGATACATACATGTCCTCAGTTTGATTGTAATCGATCCATCCATTCTAATGATAATCCGATCACATGCTATTTTTGCATACATAATGAGCCCCATGACCTTTAACCTTGACCTCATGACCCCAAAATCTAATCAGTTCATTGCATCAGCAAGATACATACATGTCCTGAGTTTCATGATAATCTGTCCATCTGTTCTAATGATAATGTGATCACAGGCTATTTGTGCATACATAATGAGCCCTGTTACCTTTGCCCTTCGACAGAGTAACCCCAAAATCTAATCAATTCATTGGCTCTGCAAGTTACATACATGACCAAAGTTTGGCAGGAATCCATCAGTCGGTTCTTGAGATAACGCGATCACAAGAACAGGACGTACGTACGGACGGGCGGGCGGGCGGACAACCCAAAAACATAATGCCTCCGGCTACTTCGTAAAGGAGGCATAAAAAGGTTGAAAACAAACGAAAGAGTGTATTCATGCAAGAGTGAGTTTCCCAATCTATAATGCTAAGCTAGAACAGAAATTGGGACATGAAGTTTAACAATTTTGCTTGTTATCCAAAACTTCTTCATATCACATCAAAGTATTGCACAAATGTAAGAAAGCTGATTGATAAAGGTGGATACATGTAAAATCAGTGGCTTATCTAGGGGGGGGGGGCAGAGAATAAATTGCATAATAATTTTTTTTTGTTTGATGGTCTAAAATACAAAAAATCAATGACAACATGTGTTTTAGGGATTAAAAAAGGCAAACTCCTGTTGCTCAGGCACTTAGGTATCTCTCTTGCTTGTAAAAGTTTTGTAGATAAGTTTGGCCAGTGGGGGCGGGGGCACAATTGCATTGTTTGCCCTGGGCGCCTTAATCTCTAGATATGCCACTGTGTACAAGAGACATGCAAATTGTCAATAAATATCAAGATTTTAAAAAAAGAGGCTAGTGCTGTCACAAGTTATAGATGGACGATACAAATAACATGCTGAAGTGACATCCACCAACACAACTGCTAAACTACTGGTATGGAATTTCATAAAAACTGACACATAGCAGTAGGCTTCATTGTTATATAAATTGGCTTTAACAATAAAAAAAAAAACATGCTTATTCAAAATGATGAGTAATGAATGGTATAAAAAAAAAGTTGAGTTCTGATCATGCGATTGCTTTGTAAAAGAAACGGTGTGGAATCAATCAGAAAAGGTTTATCATCTAGCATACTGTATAAGTATTCGTGTGTATTGCAAGGTTCTGGAATCATCAAAATGACAAGACATTTGGCCAAGTCTTGGTAAAATTTCAAGCATTGTACACAGAAAGATGTATATGGGACTACACCAACACGAGCCGTAAAAATCCGTCCTGATTTTTACGATGTTATATACCATATTTAGAATATGAAGCCATTTGAAAAGCCATGCTTTTCAGGGAACATGTTTTATCAGATGTTCTTCCACACTTGCATAATAACAATGACAATTAACGCTCACAAATTATTTTTCATCTCTTCCCAGAACTCAACCTTCTCTCTAAGGTTTTTGTACCAGTAATTCTAATGAAGTATAAAAACCAAATGATAGGCTCAGTATGAATAGCAATGACATAGTTTGTGATCTATGTTTACTACATACACTGTACCTTGAGTGCAAGTTGTAATTTCAGTTTGAGCTCTCCTTCCACCTTACGCTTTCCCCGGCTTTGCAGAGGAAAAGAACATTCTAAACCTTGACTCGATATGGTCTGTAGAGGGATGCAAACAGAAGAAAAAAAGTTTCATTCTATCGGGAGAGAACATCTTTATAACATGAAGTGATCATAAATTTTAACCTAGCAAAATGATAACTGCATGGATGTCTGCAACAACACAACCACACATGTAGCTCAAATCTGTTGCATTTGAAGACTTATTTTTTCATCTATGTTTCCCTGAAGTCTGACATGGTTGCCAAACATTAAACATACTGTATAGAAAAAGATATGTCCTACTGGTGTCAAAAATACAATTACAGCTTGTACTACTTCTACTGCGTATAGATCTTAAAGGCATCGTTTAACAATTATTTAACGTATTATCAGCGTCTATGATGTGGTGTAATATTGAAGCCCTAACAAAATTGTGCTTCAAAATGATCATGAAGTGCCTCAAAAAAAGTAAAAATCTTTGAGTGACCAGTTTTACCATACTCATTTCACCCAATAGTGTCATGAAAACCCGTTAGGAAAACGCAAGTTTGATATTATTTCCAATCATAAATACCTTTATAATCAGACACGCGATCGGCTTGTAAAAGTCATGAGGTTCCTGACTGACCTAAAGGTTTATAATTATCATTGTAGCATGAGCTAAATCCAGGATTTCGTTTCAGAATCTAAGGTAAAGTTACCAAATCCCTTTAATGGTAAGATGCTCCACATAGCATGTACTGGTACTTACATTGAGTGGTATGGTAACCCATCCTAGGAAGTCATCCAGGTTCTTTCCATCCTTCTTGGCTGACTGAGCTATCTCCTTGAAGAATCTACGAAGCAGAGGAAAACAAGACATTAACATATATTGTAATGCCTATTAAGGGGTCAATGTAATGCTTCCCAGGAGGAATGGGTAGCTTTTAGGCTCTATGTCAGACATAGAGGTCAGGTTTTTCCATTTGCATGATTCAAATCATTCCTGAGAAAGGAGACTGCAAATTTGCGATTGATTGGAGGACTCTTTATATGATGGGGCCCCATGTCTCCATGTTCATCAAATTCATGGCATTGTACAACTTAAGGCCTGTTCAGATAAAGCGGTAAACCACCGCTGATAAAACTGCCACATTTTTTAAGGTGTAAAATGAATGACAACTGCGCGCAACAAAGAACTTATAAGTTCTTTGTTGCGCGCAGTTGTCATTCATTTTACACCTTAAAAAATGTGGCAGTTTTATCAGCGGTGGTTTACCGCTTTGTGTATTCACTGAGCTTTGTGTCAAAAAAAAACAGAAATGCAAAGCGTATGAAGGTATGAAGGAGAAAAGAAACGCTGTGGTTTTGGCTGCGTCATATCTGAACAAGCCATAACACAGCACAACATTCTTCTCAATTTCTTGTTTTAGGAACCAAATCTATTAATAAAAACATACCTTCCCATACCCTTCAGATTGGAAACATCTCCTGCATTCTTCTTTATAAGTTGCCCTACTGATGAGTTCTCATCATGATCCCTGCAATATAAATAGGAACAAAAAATGAAAGATTTCAAAAGTTAATAATGATGTCAAGAAATAAGATCAAGCATTGTAAACAAAAGCTGTGGGTCAATAAGTGGTAAATTGAGGAGAACCACATGTTTATCCATCAAAGGTTAGGTTATTGCATAAATTGCAAGTCAAAATCTACAATCCGTTTGTATCACCTTTAATTTACAATTTTGATAACATATTCTCTCAAAATGAGGATTTCCAGACCATTGTCGGTAAGCTAATTTTCTTTTATTAGACTGCAAAATTTGCTGATCTTTTGTCAAATCTTCCTAATTTTACACCCAATTCCAAAAGTAAATGTGGGCACTAGGTTAAACGTACTTTCCTTTTTCCATTGTTGATATCAGATTTTACGAGAAATGGAACTGTTGCAAAGTAAGGTCAGCATGCACAAACTATGATCCCGACACCAAACATGTTCATTTAGCATGTACATGTACAAAGGGAAAATGAATGGGGCATACATATTCTGCAGAGAGAGAGAGAGAGAGAGGGGGGAGGAGAGAGAGGGGGAAGATAGAGGGGGAGAGGGGGGAGAGAGAGGAGAGATAGGGGAGAGAGAGAAAGAGAGAGAGAGGGGGAGAAAGAGATAGAGAGGAGAGAGAGAGGGAGAGAGAGAGAGGAGGGAGAGAGAGAGGAGGGAGAGAGAGAGAGGAGGGGGAGGGGGGAGAAAGAATGAGTAGAACTTACCAAACTTCAACCTGCAGCTGTTCATTGTTGACATCACCAACATCACTGCAGAGAAAGATTAATGCAGAGATAAGAATACGGTACATGAATGTGTAAAGTGCCTGTCAGATAAAATGCTACTTTTAAGAATTTATGACAAGAAGAAAATAAATGATTGGTGTTGTTAATTGTTGATGTTATTGTTGTTTTTGTTGTTTGCTGTGTGCTCACTTTGCAGTTCTTGTTGTTGTTGTTGTTCCTATTGTATATGTACTGTTGCATTCTTTTAGTTAGGATTGGACAGCGTTTAGGGGGATGCATTTGATTCTCCTTGCCATATACAGCATAGTTTATACTTAGATCAAAAGATAGCCTCCTGGTGACACAATAGAGCTGTTCTGTTTGCACAGCATAATGCAACATAGTCTACCAACATAACAACCAACTATCCAACTATTCAACTCCTCAACAAAAAAGAGAAAGGTTGTTTTTACTTAAAGAGCCTGAGAAGCGACATTTACAGGTTGATGTTGTTGTACAAGCCTGAAAATTAGCGGCACTGAAAGAGGACATCCATGGTGATGAAGGGCCGAAAGCTATATGAACATGTATGGGAAGCATATGAAACATCTTGTGTGTATGCAGAGCACACCTGAAGATGGCTTCTATCAAAGTTCTATGCTACAGGTACATGTAATGAGTGAGATCATGACTAAACAAATGACTCCAGGGGGGTGTTTCACACAGACTAAGATCGACTTTAAGTTGGACTTAACTATGACAGGCTGTTCATGCCACTAGTTTCTCTAAAACTTCATGGCATTGATCTCTCAAGGTACGTAAAAAGCGTGGTAACAATTCTACAAAATTTACATTTGTTGATATTTCATTATTTGAGGAAAAAATATTATCTAAAGATCATAATTGAGAGACCAATGGTGAGAGCAACTAGTGGCATGACAGCAGCCTGCAATGTTCAGTCCAATTAACTTAAAGTCGATCTTAGTCTTTGTGAAACACCCGCCTGATCTGATGACTTACAATCTGAACTGTTCCCTCCAGCTCGGACACAGGGTCTTCTCCTTGACCTCCGTGACACAGAGGGGGTCCTTGCTTGCGTGGTCGAGCAGGGGATCGTGCCTGGAGTGCGACATCTTGTGCTTTTCACCTTCCGACGTGTTCTCCCTCCACAGAGCGACGATGCCCAGAACACAGAATGGATCGCTCAGACCTGCAGTAGACCAATGGGACGGAGTAAAACAAATAAACAGCGGGATTTAAGGGATTAAGAAAAGATGATATGAAAGGGTGGGTGTGTATAAGATGGAACAGCTAGTAGGGGTTCCTCTTCAAAGATAAACTAAAATCTGATCCAGTTTATAAAAGAGTCAATGGTATTCTCCCTCATTAATAAATCTCAAGGTAATTTATTCATTTTTCATCATCATCTTATACTCTATTTTGCTCAACAGGTGACTAAACATATTTTGTTGCAACCCCCCTCTCGCTCTCTCTCTCTCTCTCTCTCTTTCTCTCTCTGTTTCTCTTGTTTATTTATTTCTCCTTTTCTCCTTTTCATTCTATCTCTCTCAAATACACTATCAGCAAATATTTCAATGTCTTTATCTGATCACTGCATTCTTCAACAGCTTCACCAAGAATCCATCTCTAAAACTGAACCAATCTGAGCTGTCATATCATTGGACTAGAATCTCTATAAATAATCACTAGGGATCGATGGGTCAAAGGTCATTAAAGCCAAGAAAATGTGACATACATCTAACTTCTAAATTTCAAATAGCACCTACGGCCGTACAATGGTAGCTGCGACCATGAAAATCTCAGAATATGTAGTTTGTGATATATAATTTCCAAAGGGGAATAGCTAATCAGTCGATTTTAGTCAAGAAACATTGTTTAATAGCTTAATTAATATCTTGACCTTGAGAGGGAGCTACATGTATACAACATAAAGAGTTTATTATTTAAAATTGTATAACTTAATTTAGACTCGATTTCAACCGCGACAACGATCACTGAATAATGTAAGATCGCATATGCTTTCAATATGTTCATTTCATTGAACCAAATTTATGACCCCATACCAAAACTTTGTATTTACATGTACCTTTAACATTTTTTTTCTTCAATTTGTGTGAATATTATATTTTACTTGCACTGTAAAACCATATGTACAATTCAGTCTCTAAGACTGCCAGTCAACGTTCATTGAATTGAATTGAATTGAATTGAAGACTAAATTAAGCTGTCCAAAAGATCTGGCTACAAGTACGCACACAGACATGACCGTAATAATAAACAAACATCAGACAAGACGCTTGCATGCACATGTCAAAGAAGAGATGAAATGCAAACACAAGGATACCAAAGGTCGATTCTCAGCTCGCTTTGTCATTACTCGCCAGAATTATGGTTTAATGTGTATTCTTTGGGTTGACAGTCATCATTCCCATTTGCATGTCAGTCTTATCAGTTTAATTAGATTTTAATTAGAGTTAATTTTCTTTAGGCCATCACCTTATCATTGCTTGCGATTTTTTTCTTCAAAAGACTATACTTTCTTAGTTTTTCTCAAGATATGTACATCAAGTTATTTTCACAAAATAAACAACAGCGGTAAGATTCAATGTTACTATTAATTTGTGCAATATAACTCATACATTCAGGATTGAAGGCTTTTATTAGCACCACATGGAAGCCATACTGAACAGGTTTCAATCATGATTCCTCACAAACTAGGGAACCTACAGAGAACTTCTAAATTATATGTACTCATACACAGTAGTCCCACAATTAACATCAGCAGGAGATCAAATTTGGTTATTACAAAGGTTAAGTATGCACAGTATTTGCACACACACTCTTAGTGTTAATAAGATAAAAGAATGAGATAAAAGCCATTATCTATTTGAAATACACATTTTAAAATAACAAATAAAATCATAAAAAGTGTGATATTCATATATCAATGTATGAGGTATAGAGTGCCATTTTGAAAAGGAAGCATGTACATAGTTGTACATGTATGCCAAATTCAGGTCTAAAAGTTAAGTGATACCTTTAGACCAAAAAGGTATCAAAGAGGGTCAAAATGTTAGTTGCTATAATATCAATAACAATCCACTTTTTTCTCATTCTATCTGTTTTTCCTTCTGACCCCGGCCCCCCCCCCCCCCCTTTTTTTCCTTTTTCTCCCTCTCTCTCTCTCTCTTTTATTTTCTCTCTTTCATTTTCTCTTTTTCATTTTCTCTCTCTCACTCTCTTCATTCATTCTTACCATCCCTCTATCACTTCCTCTTGTTCTCCTCCCTGTCCCTCTCTCTCTCTCCCTCTCTCTCTTTTCCATACCCCTTCACCTTCTCTCTGTTTAGCACATCGAGACCGTGACATTTCTGCCTAACAACAGAGCAGCAATAGGATGCTAGAGCCAATTTGCAATTAACGCATAAAATAAAAACGCCTTCCCGTACCATGCTTAGGAGTGCACTGCAAACACAACACCCATATTGCCTTACAGCCAGGGATAAAAGTAAACAAAGTTCATCATAAAATAGTTATTACTCCATTCCATCATATCAATTCATTTCATGCCCACGCACATTAATTATCACACTGTACAACTGTATGCACTCACACATTTATCAAAGGGAAATCATACTATTTGGATAGGGCGAGACTTGGTGTTTACTCAACAAAGGACACTACTTATCCTCTACAATGTACAAAATAGGATTGGAAACACTAAAGTGTTGATTTGTTTGTTCTCAATTATCTTAACTAAATTTTCAAATCTATCAAAGTGACATCCACATAACAATTTATCAATATGCATGTCTCACCAAATATTAGTACACATCAGGCACTATAGGGTGCAAATTAAAATCATCAAAACATTCTTCGTATTGGAACTCTTATTCCAGAACTGACAATTAGGTTGTGTGGTATGCCATTTTGAAACATGTCACTCTTACAACATTAACTAAATAGGTCTAAAATGTATAATAATCTTTTCTTATAATATTGTTCCTAGAACTGAATTATTTCTTACCATTTGAATCTTTTGCCAGCAAACCTTTAGCTGATATTACATCAACAACCATGATAAGAGGAGGGGGCTGTCAAATGATCAAAAAGAAAGATAGACAGAGATAGAGTATTAGTAAAACAAAGTTAAACACAGAAATAGACAGGAATGAGAGAGGGGGAGAGAGAGAGGGGGAGGGAATGAGAGGGGAAAGAGATATATTGATGTTCAAGTACTAATTGGAAATCAATGCTCAATTAAATATCAAATCTACACAATTTTGCAACATAATATGAACAGCTATATTGACATGATTGTAAAAGCTTTTAACTATATTCAACAGCTTTTTTAGATTCCTAGTAATATGCATTAGGTCTAAATGCTCTTATTGGGCACTTTCAGAAAAGACAAATCACTGAATGTAAACAAGATAACACTGGTTAGATGACAAGACATTGTATTAACGTTATCACTATCACTATCCACTATCCATAGTATAATACGCTAAGGCGTCGAGGGGGGTATCCGGGGTCCATTTTACAGCGCCCAAATCTCCCCTCCCGCCCGCCCCCGGGCGCCGCCGGGCGGTCCTGCGGACGGACGGCGTTTCAATCTACCGACTGGGCCACGTCCCGGCCCGGTGCGACGTCCCGGTCGTCGTCGACGTCGTCGATGCGTCCGCACGTCCTACTTATCCGTCGCGAACTTCATGCTTTAGCATGAAGCGGAAGTGGACGAGCGGTCTGAGGCGCCGGTTGCGTTCGATTCGCCGGCAGCTCTTGCACTTTTTGCACGCACGGGTTCGATCCCGCCTCCGTCGCAAGTTTTTTTTTTCTTCCCCGTGTTTGTTTTGTATATTTTAGATGTTGTAATCTTTACCATTTTTTTAATTTTAATTAAAATGTAGACCTCATATTTAAAATTTAAATGAGTCGAGTCTTTATTTGATATTTATTAGCTTATTTCATGATCAGCGCAACAGATGTCTTCCCATCCACGTCCAAACTTAGAGACCTATTTCCATCATTATTGCCGGGATTTTTATATAGTTTTCGTGAGTGGAGGTATGAAATCAAAGCTTATTTTGTGATTATTCTGGCCATGTTTACTCAGTTTTGATTATCATTTATTAAAGGAAAGTTTTCACAAGAAAATCTTAGGAAAACATCGTTCAGTTTCAAGAGCTCTGCCGTACGCATACAGTGTGTAGTGCAGTGCACTCTAGCTGCGCTGGCTGCTCGACTGAGTGAGTGAGTGAGCTATTCAGAGTCGAAGAGACTATGAAGGGCCAAACATGCCAATATTCGACAACTATACGCTATATTATGTATCCATCCATGCGACTATTTATGTCTATCCATTCATTGAAGTAGGCCTACAACGTGAACACAACAGCGGGCAAGCCGAAGTGCCATAAGATCGTTGGGGAGAGGGGGGGGGGGGGGGGGGCAAAATATTTTTTTTTGCATCTTACATATTACAAAAAAAATCTGCATCTTACATGTTACATGCAGACCCCACAAAACATTTTTCAAAGTGTGGGGGGGCGAGGGGGATCAGGTAGATCGAAGCGAGTTGAGTGTAGGCGTGGGGTCCACGGGTTTCAAGGGGCCATAAACCCCCGAAAGCTCGGGGGGTTTAGGCGTTTAATTAGGGTCAGATGAGCATATTTTCAATACTTTATTTGGCGTGGGGTCAATACGTAGAGTTGCGTAGTGTTGCGTACCAACTACGCTGACCTACATTACTATATGCTGGGGGACGGAAAGGGGTACGCAAGATGAACGAAAACAATTCAACATGTTTAATTTTTTTCGCGTACTTTCGGCGTAGAAACTTGACGCAGAAAGTACGCCTTTTTACGCAACACTACGCTACATGACTACGCAACAGTACGCTACCCTACGCCAGATTGACAAAGCAGTAAAAGCTTTCCACACAGTAAGCAACCATAAGCAAACCTGTACGCCAGCCTACGCATAACCTAAGCAGGGACTATTTTCCCATTAATACGCAGCCTAATGTCTGCGTAGTCGGTACGCCACACTACGGAACTCTACGCAGTTCCAGTGGCTTAAAGAATAACTACCGGTATAGTTGGATCGTTTTTGTTTTTTTATATAAGGCCAAGTTAAAAAAAAAACATGTTTAGCGTCCTGTTTTTTCGAAAAATGGGAAGGAGGCCCTTTTTTTCTTTTTTTTTTCTTTCAAAATGGCCGCTCCGTACATTTTCCCTGACATTCAAGCTATTTTTCAAGATGGCGGCCGACAATTTTTTTTTTCTTTTTTAAAATCAGAAATACATTTTAGCAGTGCTTTTCATGTTTTTTTTCTTTCAAAAAAAATAAATAAATAAAAAAATAAATAAATAAATAAAAAAAAAATAGGAGGCGGCCCCCAAAAAGGAAGCAGGCGGGAACGCTGTTTTTTTCTTTCAAAAATAAAAAAAATAAAAAAATAAAATATTTTTAAAAAAAGCGGGCGGGGACGCTAAACATGTATATTTTTTTAATGGCCTGAATGGCAAATAAAGTTCTTGGTGGTTTTAATTTAGACAGTCTCTATATATCTATTTACACCCCCCGCCCCCCTCTAGAATCCCGCGGATTTCCGCGGGTCCTGCTAGTCCATATAATAATACGCTAAGGCGTCGAGGGGGTATCTGGGGTCCATTTTACAGCGCCCAAATCTCCCCTCCCGCCCGCCCCCTGGCGCCGCCGGGCGGTCCCGCGGACAGAGGGCATTTTAATCCAGCTGCTCGACCACGTCCCAGCGCGTTGCGACGTCCCGGTCGTCGTCGACATCGTCGATGCGTCCGCACGTCCTGCTTATCCGTCACGAACTTCATGCTTTAGCATGCTTTAGCATGAAGTAAAAATGGCCGAGCGGTCTGAGGCGCTGGTTGCGTTCGATTCACCGGCAGCTTTTGCACTTTTTGCACGCACGGGTTCGATCCCGCCTCCGTCACAAGTTTTTTCTTTCTTCCCTGTGTTTGTTTTATATATTTTAGATTTTGTAATCTTTACCATTTTTTTAATTTTAATTAAAATGTAGACCTACTATTTAAAATTTAAATGAGTTGAGTCTTTATTTGATATTTATTAGCTTATTTCATGATGAAATCAATTAGATCTGGATCTAGGCCTATAAATAAAATCAGCGCAACAGATGTCTTCCCATCCACGTCCAAACTTAGAGACCTATTTCCATCATTATTGCCGGGATTTTTATATAGTTTTCGTGAGTGGAGGTATGAAATCAAAGCTTATTTTGTGATTATTCTGGCCATATCGCGTCGAAACGCGTCGATCTGCGTCACCTAACGAGGCTCCGGGCTCGACGTCGGGAGAGCTATCTCCTCCCGGACGACGGGTCGAGGGGGGACGGGACCTGACCCGGGGGACGAGGAATTCTTTTCTACGTGGACTCGGCCGGTTTTTTTTACCCATTCTGTCCCGCCATCGACCGGGAAATCGTAAAAAAACGATGTGACACGCTCATGAATATTATGCATGACCTGTTGCATGCATGCATGAGCCTCGAACTGTTTCAATCCATTGCCCCTAAAAAATTGTTTTTATTCTAATTTGATATTATTCTAACCAAAAATATTCAACAAATTACGAATGTGTTATTATTCTGTTTATACAGTCAACAATTAATAATTTGATAAAACGGAGATATACAATCACGCAAAAGCAACGACCTAGCATGGACGTCCATGGACCTCGCTTTTACTTTTGAGCATCACAGTCCGACCTCGATCTATGAATTGTCTGCCAAAATCAGAAATAAACATTTTGTGTTTGATTTTATAGCAAATACATAATATGATAATAAAAAATGTTGTTAATATATTTTTACAATCCTGATTAGATTTATATTGAATATACGCAAAAAGTAACAAACAAAGTTTCAATAGTGCATGGAAATGGCAACCGATCAAAGGTAGGTACGTACGTATACCATCTCTATATACATGCATGGACTTCGGCTGTTCTGTACATACATTGTTCTAATTAATAACAAGTGTGTGCGGGGGTACGTACATGATAATGCTCAACATGACACACAAAAAGCGCTATTCATCTTCGCGTGTATGTATTCAACGTGTGTGCACGTGTGTTCATGTTCTACATTGCATAGTGCATGTACTATAGCGACTTTCGCCAACAATCAAATATACAAAGCTTCTTTCGTTCAACGTACTAATAGTTATACCTCGACTTGGTGAACCTCTTCTCGATTAAATAAAAGCACCTTAGACTACTCATTAATTGTTCGATAACACAAGTTTATTTTCTGCTTCAAACGCCCGCTTGCAGCTGATTTAAATAAGTAAAATCGTCTTATTACATTACATAACAGATTTCAGATTTCATGCAGCACCTAGACCTATTCATGTTATAACTAACTCCAAGGAGCTCTGCCGCCGCAAGGGTCGGCGAAGCTACCTGGGGCCCGGCCCCCCCCCCCCCACTCAGGTTTCGAAATGACCGCATGCGTGTTGCCAAAATGTCCTTTTCGTAACAAAAGAAAAAGGTCGACCCGTATTGACTTTACACACCGGACTTTTGCTGAAAAGGGGGGGGGGGTGCTGAAAAAGGCTCGTATACAAAAGAAAAAGGTCGAGCCGTATTGACTTTACACACCGGACTTTTGCTGAAAAGGGGGGGTCGGTTGGAACACGCATATGCGTACCCTACACTGAGTGGGGGGGGGGGGGGGGGGGGGGGGGCGGGACCTGGGGTTACTGTATAACGTAATTATAAGATCATCAACGTGACAAAAGCGAAAAAAAGAGATGAGGGTCGGGTAGGGCAAAATATCGGGGCAAGCCAAATTTTGCCACCAAAATCTAATATGCATCTACATCAGTCTGCAGACTACAATGTATGCATTTAGAAACTGAAGAGGAATACAAAAAAAAATGCCCTTGGCCTTGGTATTTGGTTAACTCTGATTATTAATAGAAACATAACTTCTCATGAGTTTAACTTCCGAGTCTAATTCTAACGTTAAAGAAGAAGAGATCTACTTTTATTTTAATTAATCTATTGATTCCACAATAATTAATCTAGACTATTCTAAGTAAACTAGAACTACATTTCCATTAATATAGTTGGATCTAAGTATGTAATGTTAACTTATCTATTCACTTTTTACATAAAAGCAGTGAAGGGATGTTCCTTTGTCTACCTGAGGAACTGTTTATTTTGTCCGCTTTCTTTGTCAGTCATATTCATAGTGTCTGTTTTTTAATGACATCTGCAGCCGAAATCTCCTTCTAAACCGTCCCCTTGGGGTACCGGTGCACGTGCCATCAGCCGCCGGAGAGTCTACTCTATATCAAATTGGCTATGCTCCGCCCGATGTCCACCTCCGTGTCGACGTCCAGAGCGAGTTGCGGCTTGATATTTACTCACAAATTTGGCCCCCTCCCTCGCTGCCTGTTGGATCCGCCCCTGACCCACCCGCGCGCTCTAGAATCCCGCGGATTTCCGCGGGTTCAGCTAGTTGTATTAATAATACATGAAATAAGGAAAAGTGTGATCTTGTTCATCTTTAGAATACAAAGAACTTATAACAAGACAAAGCTTTATACATACCGGTATGTAGCTTTGTGGGAACATACAGGATACATCACCATTGACTGAAACTGTACATGGACTCTCAGGGCTTAATCTATTTCCATTTGAAATATATCGATTTGAAAGTATAGCGATGACTAACTTACCAGGCTATTTGATACTCTCTGTAATAGTGCTTCATGTTCTTGGGGATTTACATTCAAGGTCTGTGGAAAAAAAGAAAAGGGGGAAAGAGAAGGTGACGGGAAAGGAATTATGGTTCCTTAATTAAAGATCCAAGGTACATAATTTGCAAATCATTATCATCATCATAATCATCAATTTTATTACCACTGTTTTCATTATAATCATCACCTTCATCATCAAATTCATTATCCTCATCATCAACATCAACATCCTCATCATCATCAACATCAATGTCATCATCACCATCGCTGTAAATAACATCATCATCATCATCATCATCATCTTCCTCATCATTATCATCACCATTATCATCACTGTCATCATCAACATCATTGTCATCATCACTGTTGTTATCAGGGGCGGCGATCCCGGGGGGACGGGGGGAAACGTCCCCCCTCAATTCTTTTAGGGGGGATCGTCCCCCCCCCCCTGAAAAATTGAAAAGGTGAAGAAAAAAAAAGTGTATAGCAAATACTGACTAAAGACTGCAACAAACTTTTAGGCTCTGGAGGGCCCTAGAGTGCAGCGTTTCGACAAATAAAAATGCAAAAATCTTCTCGCTCCGGAGCTACGCTCCCCCGCATAATATTCTTCGAAGTGTACAGTAAATATTCTAGAAAACTGAACTGTGAAAAAGGTATATTGCTTGTTTTTATGCTATTCTTTTGCTAATTAAAGTATGTAATTTGTTAATACAACAAAACTTCAAAAACATGTGAGGGGATAGTCACTGCCGTAACCTCTACCCCTCTTGTTCACTTTGCTCCCTCGCCTTGGCGTAATGATGAGGGGGGCTTGGGGGCAGTTGCCCCCCTAATAAAATTCAAACTTGATTTATTTCTAACTCGATACCAGTGATTTACAAATGTTGATGAAATGGCATGGTTTTTCCCTGAGCTTCTGCGGGCTCTGCCCCCTGGACCCCACCAAGGGCCCTATGGCTGGCCCCTGTTTGCTCATCTGACCGTGATTGAATGCGTAAAACCCTGAGCTTCCGGGGGGTCTGCCCCCTGGACCTCACCAGGGGCTCTAAGACGAGCCCCTGGATGCTCATGTAACCGTTATTAAATGCCTTAAACCCCTGAGCTTCATGGACAACATGCCAATTTACACTCCACTTGCTATGCTCGCTTTGCTCTACCTAATAAAATACTTTAGCCTCCCCCTCTATGAAAAACGTTCCGCGAGGCCTGCATGTACATGTACAATGTTAGAGTGGGGATGCAGATTTTTTTCTCTCCCCCCCCCCCCCAACGTTTTTGTTCAATATACGCCACACTGCTCCCCCGTCCCTCGCATTTCGTCCCCCCGGTCATGAAAAGAAATCGCCACCCCTGGTTGTTATTAACATTATCATCATCATCACCATCATCATCATCAGCGTCATCATTGTTATTAACATCATCATCATCGTCTTCCTCATCCTCCTCATCATCATCATGACCATTATCATCCTCCTCATCATCATCATCACCACTATCATCATCCTCATCATCATCATCACCACTATCATCATCCTCATCATCATCATCATCAACATCATTATCATCATCACTGTTATTATTAGCATCATATATTCAGCATCTTTATCTTCATCATCAGCATCATGATCAAATAAGAACACAAATGAAAACATATGACACACATGAGACAAAAGTGCACATTTTAAAAAAGACAAAGAATCTTCCATTTTTCCAAAGATCTACAAGCATGCTCCATGTTTTGACCCCCTCTGACTCCCAACAGAGGCCCCTCTGTAAGTCATAGGTTATCCTCAAGGGAATTCTTTCAGGTACATGTGGGCGTACTAGACATTTCCTGCACACAACAGAATCTAAGCAGTCCGACTCACACAAATGTTACAATGCACTATTAAACCATTATTCATACACCTAAATGTACCGTTACGAAATATCATATTTTCACCATGCTCTAAATGATTTTAAAAGCAACATGAAACCAGACAATGACATTGCAAACTGGCTTCCTGTACGGTCTGCCTCATCCTGAATTAAAAGGTGGCAACCACACACACCAATGATGACAACAAAATACTCAAATGCCAGTAGATAGACTGTTTCCAAACCACTCTACAAATGTAAATAATGAATTTAATACATGAAAATTGTCTCTCATCATTATACAGTATGGAATTATTTGTGTGTGGATGAATTGTGAATGGAAATTGTAAAGGCGTGTTCACTGATCACACAACATAACTCTCTTTTTAATTTAACTACGAGGAAACAAGGTTGCACTGGCAATAAAATACATGATAAAAAGTATTCCCTTTTCGTTATTTTATTGGGTACTGATTTGCAGACACAACACTTGCAAAGTGTAGTCATGCAAGCAAATAAATGATTCAGAATGAGGATCGTGGGTATTGCACGGAGTTTAAATGGTCATGTATGAGATGGACATGAATAAATCAAATGCGATGAATAAATAGAGCTTACGACAATGGTAGAAATGACGTCGAAAGTCCATGAAGATGATGAGAGATGAAACGAAGAAAGGGGCTCACGCGATGATTGTGCGGAGGCTTGATGATGGAAACGCGACTTCGTTGACGTGGCTGAAGAGCCGAGAAGAACGCGATGTCGATGCCGACGCTCATGATGATGATGAATGTAGCGCTCGGGCGAGAAGAAAAGAGAAGAGATGTGGCGCTCGACGACGAGGCAGTGAGTCGCTCGATGTCGGAGGCCCAGGTTGAAATGTAGACATCAAAGCCGGTATAGTGGTGATCGTGAAGAGCAGTGAGTCGCTCGATGCTGGATCGATGAGCCGGACTTTGAATTGAAATCATCAGAGTTGCAGTGAGATGGACTCATTGATGAAAGTTCAGGCGAGCTACAGTGAATCGAGCTCGTGTGTGAAAAGAGCTACCGAAGCGAAGAAGCTAGCAGCTCCCAGCGGAGAATCAGGAGCCATGTCAGTTCCTGATTTAAGCGTTCCACTGCAAGACTGCCAGTCCTTTAAAGACGGCAGGATAAAGAGATGATGTGCCATACAAGAGGTGATAGGCACGGAAGAGAATTCTCCAAATGAAATGTAGGAGGTTAGAATTGAAGATGGATTTGCTCCTTGTGTATGCATGAAGCAAATTGTGGAAGTAGAGGTGACATTCTCATATTGACGTGTTACTTCATCGAAGAACTATGAGAAGTGTAGTAGTGAAGAAAGTTAGAGAGTATGAAGTTGTTTTCATCCTTCTTGGGAGGCAGGATAAAACAAAGAGGGTACTATATATACCAATTCTGGGAAGGGAGAGTGAGTCACTGGTGATTACCAGGTACAGGGACATTGAAGCCATTATGCTGGCCCTTAATTGTTGATAAATATATAGGGGCAGTGCCTGGCATTAGTCAGAGGGCAATGTCCTCCCAAATTGGGTTTGTAAAGTAACAAATGACATTAAGAAATGAAAAAGGATGAAATGAGGAAAATACTACAACAGCATTGTCCAATCTTGAAATGAATTGGTAAATGGGGCTTTCTCCTATACCCAGTCATTCCTATAACAATATAGTGAGGCACTACTAATTAATATAAACTGCAAAATCCCTCAGCATTAGCAGTATCAATTAGCCTATTAACCTGTGTGCATAAGACAACCTTGTGATATTCAACTTATAGATTTTATGAGTTACACTCTGTTTATAAAGAGTCAAACCTGTTTATAACGACCCCCCAAGGGAAACACAAAAAGTGGCCATTGTAGACAGGTTCCTTAAGTACATGTTTCAATGAGAAACCATTTTCAAGGGGGGGATGTGGTCTTTGTAGACAGGTAGTCACTAAAGCAGGTATGACTGTATTTCTCACCTCTTGTGCATACTTAAAGAGCTGAGCATTGGGCAGGTCTTTCATCTCATAGTTCACCCCAAGTCTCTGGTTGATTGTGATGAGAGCAGATTTGTAGAAGAACTCGGCCTGCAAAGACCATACAGAAACTTCTCAAAGAAAATGTCTTATAAGTCATTCATTCATTCATTCATTCAAAATAGTTAGGTTGGCAAATTTGGAGGGAAAAAATGTCAACATAATTGACATTGGCAGTTTAAATAGAAGTGATCCATAAATTACTTATATTGTATTTGTATTTGTTTTTATTAACATTTATTTCATTCTCAACAGTACAATATGAAACACAATGTATATATAAATGATATACATGTATGTAACAATTATTTCAACATACATGTAGAGTATACAGTAAATAATTCAGATACAGAAGGAGGTGAAAACCCGGAAAGCTTCACTATGGATTCAAAATGATCATGATTTCTAAATCTTTTCAGGCAAACTGTACATGTATGTATCACAGTATAAAAACCTTAAGCCTGTTCACATTGGTTTGGAAGTAATACAATATGAACTACTGTATGACTTGTACTGCATGATACGAGTCATAAGATAATTTTTAAATGATTATCCAATTCAGCATGTTTGCTACTTTATATAAACATCCTTCTTTTTTCAAATTAAACAATGGAGCTTAGGAAATGGGATGGACATAAAAACAAAACCATCACTTCCTCATCCCCAAACTCCAATAAATCATCTTCTTCACATACATGTACTGTATGAGGGTAACTGTTGTACTTTTTTTTTTGAGGGGGTGGGTATAAATATCAAGTTGTACATCATTTGGTTACATGGATGCAACTACTTGCTAAATCAAGTAGATCGAGAAATAAAGAGCAATATTTTCTAGGATAAAAAATACTTTTAAGGATACAAAGTGACTACCGGTATTTTGTTTCCCTTCTGTATACAAAACCTCTTTGTGAGTTGAACGGGAAATGTCTTTATAGATGCCCCTACACTGGGTGAAATCAATGGCAGAGTTGTTGTTTGCTGATGAATCCTAAACAAAACAAAACAAACATAAATAGAAGATCAATGTTATTTGAACAAAGAAACACAATGAACCTGCAAGTACATGTACATGCAGGTATTGATTTTTTGTCACAGAATGATGAAGGGCAAAATGGTATCAGGAAATTAGGTTTGCAATTGCATACTGACATGAAATGTGTTGAGGGAAAAGGCATGTATGAACAGAGGTGGTATTTATAAGGCAAACAAGTTAAGTTTCAACAGTAAGTTTCGGTATTAAAAAGGATTTACACTGCCTTTGAGGGATATGTACAAAAGGAGAAAGAGAATTTCACAGAGTGTTACAATTACTCTCTAAGAAGGCTATAATCTCACGGTTTGTGAATCTTGTGAATTAACACTCACAGTCCCCTTCGAAATAAACATTGACAAGGCACATCAACGAAAACAAGACAGATACGCAAGCCTCACACATGTTTAACAGCAACAGGGTGGAAGAGCAAACTAGTGTGTATTGAAATTGGTTCATGTTGGCTTATAACCCCACAAAATAAATAGTGTCTAAAGGAAATACTCAAAATCAGTACCCAGCTAGGACCAAAAATTGAAGACCGTTCTGTTCAGTTCATATGTAATATTTCAAGGAAGACGTGATCCAGCATGTTAATTCGATCAATACCTTAAAGTGTAATTTATCAAATTTCCTTTCTCTCTCTTCGATCTATACTTCTGATATTCCGAGGTCGGAATACAGCATGTTTATCAATAAACTTGAAACTATTTTGTAACAAACTGACAATATTTACCGTATTTCGATTTAATTATATCATTATTGATTAATGTACATGTATCATGTATGGGGATCTTTCCTTCCTCATCATAATGTTACAATCTTCTTTTTTATCCTGTTCTGTACTATACCACCTCTGTTTATTCTCTCCTTTTCACATTTTCACCTCTTTCCTTTCCCTTTCTCTCTATCCTGGTGCTCCTTGTTATAAAACACATATATTATTAGTAATCAGTATTGTTATTGTACGTACTACAGGTATATTTTTTATAAATGTAATGCTTCCTGGGAGATTTTCTGACTTGTTTTTCAATTACATATCGATCAATCGATCTTATTTACTGGGTGTAAGCCACAAATATGTTTAAACTACAGGTATATTGTTGATTATATACCTCACTTAAGGAATCCAGCCATCTGATTGGTCGAAGATGCATTCATAAACTTTAACTATTCCTGTCAAATTCCCGGTAAAATTCCAAACCCATGTAATAGTTCAAAAAACAGTTCTAAAATCCCAGTTACCATGGTTACCGGGAAATAGTTCTACAAAATAGTTCTAAAATCCCAGTAACCATGGTTACCCATAGGTTTACATGTTAAAAAATGGTTTGAGCGATCGCGGATACCGTACGTGTGCGAAGAATTGGTCGGCATTTTTAGTACGGCAATATATCTCGATTCAAACAAGGCAAAAATGGCTGTAGAAACTCTCCCAAGATTTCAACTTCTGGATGAGGATCAAATGCGAGACACGCTGACAGCAAGAACACCAAAAAGGGTATGTGAAATCTTCCATAATTTTTTTTACAGTAGGCCTAGACTCTAGATCTAGATTCTAGTACGCGACAACCAGATGCTGGTGATTGTAGTGATTTGTACGTCACGGAATTCACTTATTAAAAGTAACTGATGAATGGCTTGAAGCAATTGATCAAGGGAAATATACTGGGTGTGTCTTTGTCGATTTACATAAGGCATTCGATACTGTCAATCACCAAATTTTAATTAAAAAACTTTCTGATATTGGAGTACAAGGTACCTCATTAAGATGGTTTCAGGATTATCTAATGAAAAGACGTATTAGAACTTCCATAGGACAAACATTGTCAGAGGAATTATACCTTGATTACGGCGTACCTCAGGGCTCAATACTGGGGCCACTGCTATTTTTAATTTTTATAAACGATCTGCCTAGGTCTTTCACGAAATGCAATTTGCACTTTTATGCCGACGACACGGTTATGTATTATTCCCACAAAGATGTAGATGTGATTCAATCAGTTTTAAACGAAGAGCTAGGACATCTACAATCTTGGATGAATGCAAATAGACTCTCTGTGAACTCCAGTAAAACAGTATGCATGCTCTTAGGGACAAAGTTTATGCTTTCTAAGCATGATAATCTCAATTTAGAGATAAATGCCACTAAGCTAATTCAAGTAAAATGTTTCAAATATCTTGGAGTAAATGTAGATTGTGAACTTAAGTGGAATATTCATATAGAGCAATTGAACAAAAAAATTGGGAAAATGATTGGTTTCTTGAGGAGATTGAGGTATTTTATTAATGAATCAAATCTGAAACTAATTTATACATCTGTAATTATGCCTCACTTTGACTATGCAGATACTGTTTGGCAAACTGCAAATAATAATCATTTTGATCAACTTCAGAAACTTCAGAATCGAGCAGGAAGAATTATTCTTCAGGTTAAACCTGGTGAACATATATCTATTCAGCAGATTCACGATACATTGAATTGAGAAACCCTAAAATCTCGACGTCGGAGACATATGTGTTCGTTACTGTTTAAAACATTTTATGAGCTAGCACCTAAATATATGATTGATAAATTTGTATTAAACGAAAACTGTTACGGGCTAAGATATAATAACAATTTAATGCTTCCGAAACCAAGAACCAATCAGTGTAAACGTACATTCTTATATCGGGGATCCGTGTTATACAATGAACTACCTATTAAGCTTCGTCAGTTAGGCACACTAAATTTGTTTAATATACATGTTCAAAAATACTTCAATTATTTTGATATTTAAATTTCGCAATCCCATTGGCTTTTGCCATAAACATAACCAATTTAATAACAGACTAAATTAGATAATGTGTAGAATATTTTAAAACTAATTAAGTTAATAGTTAGCAGGGTGGGTGATAAGGGTGGGGTCGTATTTTGTTACATTAGGGATGGTAGGGGATATTTGAATAGATTTTAATGCTTTTTGTTAGTGTTTTTTGTTTAATTTAATTTAATTTGATTTAGTTAAGTTAAGTACAAGTACAATGTTGTTGTTGTTTTTTTAATATTTTTAATTACGACTTACTATTTTGTTATATCATTGCTTATTATAGTATCATTATATATATATATATTGGACTCCATGGAAGAACAGAGCCATTAGGTTAATGGCTCTGAAATGGACTATCCAACCGTTTTATCATTCTATCATTGTTATATAAGTCTTTGATTTTGTTGTATTGTATTATTGTTTTTTTATGATGATTTTCGGAAATAAATAAAACAAACAAGGACAGATGCAGATCCTTCCCGTAAAGATTACACACATCCCTATGCATTTCCATTGGCCATTGCGCACTCGATCATGCTAGCTAGCGCTAGATTGGTCGATGTTTTAATTACCAGAGATTCAAACTAATATTGCTCGTGATCCTGAAGGTGATACTCAATAAGTGAGGTGTCATATTAAAGCGCAGGTTTTTCTCCATATTCCCCACAGGGCCGGCCCACCCCTAAAATTGTAAAAATATCTTGCTTAGACTAGAATCTAGATCTAGTCTACTCTCAAAGAAACACTCATAAAAAACAACCCTGCAGATAAACTAGAGAAAGGCCAAGGTGGTGTCATAATTTTTTCGGCATATAAAAGTATTAATGACTGCTTTAATATTCGAGAAATAGTTGTTTTTATACGCTCTCGCGAAGGTTACAATTGGGCTATTGCCCTCGGCACGCCTCAGGCAATAGCACAATTCTAACCTTCCCTTGAGCGTATAAAAACAACTATTTCTCTCAAAGCAGTCATTAATACTATATTATAACCTATCGTTTAACCCACTGGGTTGACGGGCCTGGTTGTTTGTGCATGATCTCTCATAAAGAGTGATTTATCATCATATATATATTTATACGTATAAATGCATAACTTTAATGTGAAAGGGTTGTGTTTATCAAGAGTAGCAGTGTATTGACAGAATTATCTGATCAAACAAAATGGTTTGTACTGAAATAGAGCAGAAGATCCTTTGTGAATGTACACAAAGACCACATGGAGTACAAAAATCGATTCGAGAAAGAGCACTATGTGTACAATGTGCATGTACACTGTAGGTATCAAGGCAAATATTGACATGGTTCATTGTGAAAAGTTTGGAATTATACATTAACTGTGAAGGAAAATACTGGGGATCACAAATAACCTTTCACATAATACATCACTAGGTCTCCACAGAGTCTATACTAATTTATTTTTTCCAAGGTCTCGATGCATGGACCATTCAGAACGTCAGGAGGTGCATGCATGGTTCAATTTAAGGGGTCTATGTGTCATACAACTTATACTTGTATGTTTATTATACACATGTATGTTAGTGTCGAGAGCTGGATACAAACATGTACACATTACAAAGTGAACACTTTTGATTTTAGTTTCACTCAGTATTACACTTTCACAAGAATTTAAGCAAACAAGGACAAATAAAAGATGTGAATTGTTCCAATGAGAACCTTAGATGAACTTGAAATTCAGAATCCCGGCTACATTTTCTTAATTTTTCTTAATCCTTTTTATTCTGGGACTAGACTAAATGCCACTAGTGGATTAATTTAGATATATACACATAATTTATGAAAAAACATACAATTTACATGTGAGATGTGAACATCACTTTTATCAGTTGGTGAAATAAAATTTAAAAGAAATTTAAATGTCTTTCTTTACTTTTCAATTTTCTGGTCAAAAGATTTGACAGTCGATTTTTGTATAGTCTCTTTTAGATTTGTACAAAAAGGTACATGCAGAACGATTGCTATTTCCATTATTGGAACACTTTCCATGTAAACAGTTGTAACCGCTTCCTCTATATTTCCTGAGTACAAGTGCAATCACTTAAAGTGTTTTCCTTTACGGAAATGATCTTTGAAAAAGGAAAAAGATATAGAATTCTTTCAATTGATGGGTATGATCAATACAGCAGCATTAATTGGTTTCAGTTTCTGCCCCTGTATTGGTGTATTGGAATTGTGCCAGTAGAGAAATATGTTTTGAAGTACAGGTACATACATGTACAAGAGTTCCAATATTTAACTTTAAAATGTTGGGCCAAAGTGTGTCAAATGTACCTATCTGGGGCTTTATCTCTCTCTCTCTCTCTCTCTCTCTTTCTTCCTCCTCCTTTTTTGTTCTTCTTCTTGTTCTCCTCTTCTCTTCTCTCCTCTCTCTCCTTTATCTGTCACTCTTTTTATATTTGTTTCCCTTCTTTCTTAGTTCTTTGTTTCTTGTTTCCCTTACTGGCCTTACATTCATTTGTTCCTTTACAGTGTGTCTCTCTCCTGATTTTCCACATGAATGTTCTCATCTATCTCTCTCTCTTTCTTGAATTGTGTTTGCATTTATTAAACATTCACTTGCTTCTCCCGATGTGGCCTCATGTACATGCAGAGAGAGTTGGACTGTTCAATGCCAGTTAGCTGAGATTACTGCCTTACTGCTCTTTGAAGATATACAAACTGAGGTATTGTATATACATGTATAGGAGGAAATATAGAGTAAAATGCAGGAAAATGATCCAGGAAAAGGTTGGAAAACCTGCGGCATATTTCTCACAGGCACACAGTGGGATTGAAAGCAGATCAAATCACTGTTTGACATTCATACTTGATTTCCTGTGCAAAGGTAGTGATGAATGATTGGAGATATTTTCTTTTTAACAGACACAACCTCCAAAGTCTTTTTTTGTCTTTCTTCACTTTTTCATGTTTACAAACAAATGGTTCCAGCTAGCATGCTTTATCTTTTAATGACAGTTTTTCATAATCCCAGTCATATTAGTGGGGTATATATTCACACAAATTGTTGATGCTCAAGCATGAACCAAACCTTCTAGATATTTAAACAACAAGGGAAACGCTCTCGGTGGTCTCGCCTGCATTACGCAATTCAATATGATGAAAAATTGAGGTTGGGACATTATTCATAGGCAGGGTGGCCCATTAGCAGCCCCCCCCCCCCCCCCAATGAAATCCTCTGAATATAATCAGCATTTTGAAGTGAATATTGACCAAGAGTCATCGGAAGAATTATTTACTATAATTGAACCAAGATTAATAACTATCATGGAATATGAACAAATAACAAAAATTGATTCATTAATCCTCACATACTGACTTAAAATGACCTTTCAGCTTGACTTTGTGACCTGGAATTTGTGTCATAAGATTTGTGATACTTCATAACCCTTGAGTACAAGTTTCATGGAATTTTAACAAACACTTTTGAAATTATGCTAAAAATTCAAAATCTTGATGTTGATGCCAAAAAAGAGTCTAAGTTTGTTGACCTGAAATGACCTTTGACCTTAACTAAGTGACCTGAAATTCTACTCATAGGATTGGGGATGCTTGATAACCCTTTAGTTTAAGTTTCATTGAATGAGAACTTATACTTTCAAAATTATACTAAAAATTAAAAAACTTTTTGATGTTGACGCCGTCGCCGCCGCCTAGGCCACCGCCACCGCTGCCTCGGCCACCGACTTGGCCGCCCCCACAACCCCCGTCGCCGTCACCGGAAAAGCGGCGCCTATGTCTCGCTTTTTGCTACGCAGGCGAGACAAAAATCATGAATATATAGGGAAGTATTAACATTTTTTAGAAAATGTAAGTTTTGTACCAGATTTCTGATCTGTTTTTGTTTTTAAGAAATAGAAACTTATGAACTGCAGAATGTTTAGATCTGAAAAGAAAATTAATACTAATGATCTGGAAAGATGCTACACATACAATTTATATCCTTCATGTTTTGTTCAAATCTGGAACCATGAAAAACCCAGACACAGCAAGGGTTTCATGGAAAATCATTTCAAGGTTCATTATATTGAAGAGGACTAGCCAAGTATAAAAGTAAAAGGCATTGTAGAAGATTGTTTTCATCCAAGTATCCAACAGGGTTTGAACATTCCTTGGCCAGACTAACAACATGCAAACGTGGGCAAGGTTTGTATGATTCTTAGAAATACATTTATATATATTATGTAATCTCCACTTACCCACTCATAAACGCATATTGACAAAAGTGAAAACAGTAATAAAACTACTTTAAAAAGTTCCACTAAGCTCCATTTGTCCTAAGCAGAAAGAAGGGGGGAGGGTGTCTTGCTTAGCCATTAAAATACAGTTGTCAACATATTATATGTACAGACGACCTGACACAGGTATTCTACGTGATTGTCAGTTTATCCATTTACTTTGTGCACATGTGCTGGTTACAGTCAAGCATGTCTCAGTGGCCTGCTCATTTTTAGATCCCCTATCAATAAGGCCTGAAGAAAAAAAGATGTTGTATTGCCCTTTGCGACCTACCAAAAAATCTTGAAATCTACGTCTGGCTTTAAAAAAAAATTACTGTTTTTTAGCGAGATAAAAATATAAAAGAATTTTTTTTTTTTAATAAAAAAAAATTGGATTTCCGACAAACCAACCTATGTTTTGGCACCTAAAGGGCAATGCAACATCTTTTTTTAAAGGCCTAATAGTAATGGGCATCTACATGTACATGATATCTCCTTCTAGGAAGAAATGTGTGTTGTAGAACCTGTCTATAGAAAGGCCGGTTATTTTTCTATTTCCCTTGGGTTACCTTGTTATAGAGGTCTGACTGTAACTCTCTGTAACTTACCTGCATGGGTTTGAATGTATCTTGGCCCGCTTCTCCATCAGCAAACCTCAAGGCAATGAACTGTTCAAAGAACTTGCCATCCATAGCAGCGACTCTGCAGGGGGAACATTCCATTATACATTCAAAAAGCCAAATCCCACATGAAATAAACTTACACAGCAAAAGCAACTTTATATACAGCAACTGTTTTAGGTATAAATATCAATTGGATCATTCCTTCCTACACTTGCAATTCTTTAATACTGTTTTCACACTGGCAAAATTTTGCTTAACCCCGTACTATGGGTGGGGTTAAGGGGCGGGGGGGGGGGGTCTTAGCCCCACCTATAGTACGGGGTTAACTAACCCTGTAAAATAGCAGGGCTAACCCCGCAATTGTGGTGCTAACTCCTGCTAACCCCGCAATTGCGGTGCCAAGCAAATGAATGAGAACAGAAACAAAAAATAGTCCGGTACTACGCAATGGAGCGTATCGCAGCTGGTCAGATGCGAAGTAAGGAGCCCACTGTTAGATCATAACATTCACGATATCCGGGGCTAACGAATTGCAGTGAGAACAGCGTGACTTTTCTTATTCCGGAATAGGCGCTAGTACGGGACTAAAAACAGCGTGTGTGAAAAGCCAAAAAAAAATAGTCCGGGGTTAAGGATAGTACGGGGCTAAGCAAAGTACGGGGTTAAGCAAAACCAGTGTGAAAAGAGTATTACATGCCTAAAATAAAATCAGACGTGGTATAGTTTTGTTTTGTTTTTTCCTCTTTTTTAATATTTTGTATTAGCAGTAATTTACTACTTGTATTAACTTCTAACCAATCCCATGGTCTGTTCACTCTAAACATTGAAGGATAAGAAACACTAAAAAATGACTTTCCTATAAAAAATTTGACCCAAAGAAAGAAAGAAAGAAATCTGCATACAGTACTTGCATGTACAGTTACAAAATATAAATACTGAAAAAAATATAGAAAATCTGATGCACATGATCATCATAATGATAAACATCTTTGCTGCAGATCAAATAGTTTAAATACCCTAAAGGGACAAGGCGACAAATGGATATATTGAATTGAATTGATATCTTACCCAAACGGACAAATGTCAGGACAAAGTAAACATGATTTCCTTGCTACATAATCCAAAATATTACCCATTGTGAGAGAGAACATTCAAGAAAATAAAAGTCTGAAGATAAATGCACATCATTCAATTTAATAGCGATTAACTGATTGATTCAGTACTGGCATGCTCCTGTGTTCATTCCAAGTGAACGCTCTAGAGATACACACATACAATTTTTGTAAATGATCACCGGACATATCTTGTAATAGACCGCATTTTTAGAAATGATGAAAGATAATATTTCACATTAATCCAGGTGGATAAATAGCTTTAATCAATGAAAGCTCCATATTAATTTCCCTCTGATGTACATGTTAACAGGGCCAATTGAGGGATATTGGATAAATGGAGAAGGGGGGCTTCGAATTCGTTTTCACTGGCTGCCTGCCGTATCAATAAACGAAATTAACAAAAGACTTAACTCCGTTTCGTTGACAATCAGCCGTCGACGAGAGTCTTCATGCATGACTGATTGTCAACGAAACGGAGTTACGGTAAGTCTTTTGTCAAATCTGCTTTTTGCTACGGCAGGCACCCAGTGAAAACAAATTCGTTTGTTAAAATTATGAAAATGTAAGGGCTACTTTAAACAAACAGAACTTTGTTATTCCTGGCTCATTTTTCCTGATTGAGGTGTCATATGAAAGGGCAGAAACTCAACTTTCTAGAAATGTGAATTTTTCTTCGAAATTCAGATATCGCCCGCCAAATGTCTTTTTGGTGTCCTTCCTTCAAATTGCTTTTAATCACTTATGCGTAAAATATGCATCATTTGAGTAGCATCAACTGAAAGAGGAGACTCTAAGCTTTCTAAATATGTATCATTCATTGATTATGGTTGTGATTAAGTTATGATAAAACATCGATACTTTTCGGTTTCGTTTTTTCTGGGACGCACTGTACATAAAAATGAGCAAGAACTTAGAATAGAGATATAAGAACCTTTAACAAAAATTCTATTGCCACTATAATATAAGCGACTATGAATACGTTACTTTTAGTAAAACTACTTTATAGTCGTTACAGGGTGAGAATCCTGATTTAGCCACAGAGTTGAAAGAATCCTAAACATTGCCCCTACTGCCAGCCCTAGTCATCCTTCCTTGTGATAATATGAATTTTCAAAATATCAATTAATGTACATTATGCAATCACCAATTCACAATGTTTACTAAAAATGCGAGTATGTATACAACATTGAATCATTAGTGATTATGTGACATCACTAACATGGAAAAACATATGATAATCACATAAATTTCCTTTCACCAAGCTAAAAGGTAATAGAAAACTCTTGTTACATTACTCTCATTTTTGTTTTAAAGTAACATGCTGGTTGACAACAATTATTTCTCAATTGTGTAAAGACAGAAGGGCAGTCTGCCCAAAAGGGATGGTACGATAGAAGAGGCTGCAGTGTCAACACTCAACAGAATTACAGAAGCAGAACTATTGACGAGCCTTCACTATGCTGCTAGCAATTTGAAATAAAGTTACCTAACAAATTCATAACAGTGACTGTCGAGAGTATGCTTCACGGCAAGCGTCCCGCCAGACTAAATAAGTTTAATCCTTTTCAACTTTAGTGGTGAAAGTGTGCAACAAATACATCATTTGACCAGACATCCATCCACACGCATACCTCTACAATCTTCAATATATTGATGACACAGGTTTCTTCTCTTTTTTTCATTACCAATGAAATATTAGGATTATTTGCACCAGTAAAATGATCAGTAGAGAGGAGTGTATTGCTCAGGGAAAATTTTGAAATAACAGTATGGTAGTATGCTGTTTTGCAAACACAATGATCGACTTGATCGTTTACACAAAATACCTCATTAGAAAATTCTGTAAAACATTTCAAAAAGTACTCAATGTGACCATAATTAATGCTAACATTTTACCTAAAACCAACGGTGCAACTGTTTCTTTTGAAACCTGGCCTGTACTTCCGGGAGGTGATTAGTACGCCATTTAATTTCAATCTCAAAACATATATAACTGTTGACTTTTCAGATCGGGCAATAATATTTGTTCATTGGTTTACTGTATAACCGTATTGATCGGCAACTTACACACAAGATCCCATCGAGTTTTCAGATCGGGCAATAATAATTGTTCATTGGTTTACCGGTACTGTATAACCCTATTGACCGGCAAATTACACACAAAATCCCATTTACTTTTCTGAGCGGTCAATAATATTTTTTCGCCTGTAGTTTTATTGGCTTACCTTGAAGGCAATAACATTTAAAAATTGCCCTGCTCAGATGTCTGATACGGTTAATAATACTTATTATTACCAGTATCAGACATCTGAGCTGGTCATTTACAAAACCGTATTGCCCTAGTTTTCATTAGCAGTGGAAACGGAAGGGTATATTCTTTGGCCCGTATTCTAAAGTCGTGTCTAACTCCTGTTTAACTAAACAGTTGTCTAAGTCCTGTCTAAGTCCCGTCTAACTTTAGTCACGAAGTCGTGTCTAACTTTTTTGGTATTCTGAAGTCGTGTTTAAATAAAGTTAAACATGAAGTCCTGTCTAAGTCCTGTTTAACTTTAGACAACTGCGAGGGGTTGTTTAAGTCCTGTTTAAGGGCGCGATTCTGCTGCTTTTCAATGTCGAAGGTACACTCTACTATCTGACTCCGAACTTGCGGGGGAGAACGATGGTACGTGCATCCTCTAAAATTCAAAATACGTTTTGCAGGATTTGTTCTTGTGTAGCATAATTTTTTTCCTCGATAATATTAACTATTCCTATCTACTGGTGACATCTTGGAAATTCTGTAATCTATAATAAGCTAACCATTCTGTTGGAGAAGTTTCTGTTCTGGTTCGGTCGAGCACTGAGGCACTGTACGTACGTTGTACACGTTACGTACATACATGCAGTCTAGTCATTACGTCACGATCACATCACCATGGTACCAGCACGCGCACAGCTAGCTGTACGCGTTAATTTATTTATCCAGTGCGCGCACACATGCGCATTGGGTTTATCGTCAGAATTAACACCTACTGGGCATGCGCAGAAGTCGTGACTAAAAGTTAAACACGGCTTGCGCAGAACTTAAACAGTTGTTTAGTTAAACACGACTTAGACAGGACTTAAACAGTTGTTTAGTTAGACGAGACTTAGACACGACTTCAGAATACGAAATTAAGTTAGACAGGACTTAGACACGACCTCGCGTCTAAGTCGTGTCTAACTAAACAGTTGTTTAACTTTAGACATGGCTTAGTTAGACACGACTTCAGAATACGGGCCTTTGTATTTTCCTTGGTCTCCCTGCTTGTATAGACTTTGCGTGTAGAGACGAGTGAAAATATATTCTTGTATTGACCACGCCGTATTTTGTCATTTTCATTGCGCATCTATTAAACTTGCACACTTTGCGCGCACTCTATTGTGACGTAAATAATCACACCGATTAAGGCACACTGTTTGCAGTGTATCGAAAATTTTGTCAAGCACTGCTGGTTGACAAAGTTTGTTCAGTTCTTTTAGATTGTCATGGTTGATTTATGTATTTGCTCTAGATGTCTGATTTGGAAAACAATAAAAAAATATTGACTGGCTTAACTTTCGGGAGATACCACATATATTGCCCTCACAAGACCCATATTGCCCTCGTCTATGACTCGGGGCAATATGAGTCTAGTTTGGGCAATATAATTGGTATCTCCCGAAAGTTAAGCCAGTCAATATTATATATTTATCGTTATTATTATAATCATAATTACCATTACAATTATTTCCAGTGTTTTTTTTTTATATTGTAGAGAGAGTCTTCACACAAGGTGAATCAGTGAATGTGTCATCGACCTATCATTCTGGGGGCGGCTACATCCTTTGGAAGCTCACTCTTGCTGATGCACCAAATTTGGCCTTTCTGATCGAACCATTGTACTCTTATTTTTATGATGGCTCCCATCTGGTCTTTGGTTATGGACATGACCCAAACACCAGTAGCAGCAGGACATGGAATGT